AAAACTGAGATGGCTTACAAAGAGTTCAAATATTTCTATTATTATTATTTTTCTAATGTTTTGTAGTATAGCTGGGTGATTAGTGGTATTTTTTAATTAAGTAATTGACAGCCCCATTAATTAATTACATGTGACTATCCCGCAACAAAGGAATACAGAAGTAAAAAAAATTGTTGTCTGTCGGTTCTGCTAGCCTTGTCTCTAGTCAGCAGTTAAAAAAAAAAGATGAACAAAGTTAAAGTTTTTAACTTTTGAGTTCATTTTTTTTTTATAATATGATAATTGTATAATAAAATAATAACAAAAAAATTACAAACACTACATTACTGTGCAAGAAATCTTGTTATTTATGATACACAGAAAATATTTACATAATTTATGTTATTAGTTTGGTTCATTTTTATTGTGTTTTGCAGTAGTATACCAAATGCATTTATACATAGATTTTGCTTGAAATATGACGAGTGACAGAATATTGTTTTACAATGTAAATGTTGGTTTGATATTAATTTGAATTTATACTTACAAGTTTTAGGCATCACCTTATACAACAGGAGCTTTCCTAAGGTACAGTTTTGTTTGTTTGTTGTTAAGCACAAAGCTACACAATGTGCTATCTTGTGCTCTGCCTACCATGAGTAACATGACCTGATTTTTAGCGTTCTAAGCTAGCAGACTGAGCTTTCATAAAAGTAAGCACATTTTCTCAACTTTGTGAATAAGATTGAAAAGTTTTATAGCAAAATGTTTGCTTAAACTTATTTAATTCGAAATTGATTAGATCTGTAAAATGAGTTTAGACAAACTAGACACTAGATTAAGCCTACTTTTCAATCATGATTGTTCAACTACCAAAAGAAAAAAAAGAATGTCAGTCTACAGCAAAATTAGATTTTATGAACTGCTTTGTATGTAAATATAATGTTTCTGCTTTCATAACAAAACCATTAATTATATTTTTGGGTTGGATAAAATATTAGAGTTATCTGTCAATTTTGGAAAAGCTTGGTGAATGTCTGTCAAATAATAATATGCATAACAAAGTCTTTTAAATACGCTGAGGCATTTCAGTTCTTTTTCCAACAAGTGTTTGTTACACAGAATAAATATTTGTACTTTGAGCAAATGACAAGGTCCTGCATGTTCAAATTAAATTCTGAAGAAACACCAGGTAAAGCTGTTATAATTAGCACTAAATTTTCATCAATCAATATTATTGCTAGTTTTTTTTTGTGTACTTCTTAATACTTGGGAACATTTTGTACATAAAACAATAAACAACGTTTTTAAAAGCCTCCATTTTTAGTGTTATTTTACCATTCTACTAATCTGTGATTTCTACAACTGATTTAACATGTGAAAACCTGTATTTTATACAGAAAAGTTCATAACTTTAAATTGCTTATTTTAAATTATTTTATTAAAACAATATTTACACATTGTTACTGTCTCTAATCGCTTTCTTGGTAAACTTGTACTTACTCAATAAAGCGAAGTAAAACTTCTGTAATGATGTTAGCTTGTTTTACAATATGACTTTTAGGTTCATTAAACTTCTTGGCATTCTTTTCAATAAACTTCACATCAAACTTCACAGCTTCCAGACGTCTAGGGAAAAAAGAAATATATAATAGTAATAAAAGTAGCATTCAAATTCAATCTTAAAAACTAAATAATCGTATACATACGATTAGGATGATGTTATCTTCTAATATGTGTAGATATACATAAGAAATAAGATTATTAGAGATAAATCACCTTTAAAAACAAAATACTTTTTGTTTTATTTTTTACTTCCTTGGTGCCGTTTCAAGCAAATACACTCTTTCAAGCCAGAAACAGGTTGTCAGTTAATTGAACTACTATAGTTTGTCATTAATCAACAGGCTGTTTCTGGCTTAAAAGTGAGCATTTGCCTGAAACTGCACTAAGGAAATAAAAAATAAAATTTTTTTTAAGATGGTTTATCTCCAACTATTAAATTTCTTTATTATATCAACTTCACATTTCTATACTTCACATAAACTTCACATTTCTATACTTCACATAAACTTCACATTTCTATACTTCACATAAATTTCACATTTCTATACTTCACATCAACTTCACATTTCTATACTTCACATAAACTTCACATTTCTATACTTCACATAAACTTCACATTTCTATACTTCACATAAACTTCACATTTCTATACTTCACATAAACTTCACATTTCTATACTTCACATAAACTTCACATTTTTATACTTCACATCAACTTCACATTTTTATACTTCATATATAGTATTAAGTGAAGAGTTATAACAACGACTGGTATATATTGTATATGAAGTATGGCACTATGTTTAGCACTCGTGTATTTGGTTCATGGCAAATTGTTGGCCATTTCTTACTTCTGCAAATAATTATGGCTGGAGGGTATGTTATAGCGCTATGTGAAAAAAAAAAGATGTTTATGTAGTGAGATTGTTGAGCAATACATAACTAGAGGACATATCATTTTGAAGAAAAAGTTTTCAGTGTTCTACCTGGATGCACTAAATCTCCCACAACAGAGAATTTAGGACAGCAATGGGTTTCAAAAAGACCCAACCCATAGTAACATCCTCATGAACAAAATAACGAATAAGGATTTGAATTTGATGCATCCTTACAAGCTTCCAGTCAAAACTCCAAATCAATGGCTATTTTTCAAGAGAAAGATGACCATAGAAACAAGCTCATTCAACCATATTTAGGTCAAGTCTTTTTATTCAGTTCCAATGGACTTTTATGCTCTTTATCAGCTTAAATGTGGTCTTAGAAACTGGCTCCATTTCCAGTGGAGGATCCAAAGAAAGTCTGTCATGATGTGTGTCTTAGGACTAACATTGCAATCCTTTGCAAAGTTTGTTGTAATGGAAATTGCAATGTTGAGCAATAGTGCAATCATGGAGGAAGTAATTTCAAGGGCAACATGGGACCTGAAACATCTTTCTTATAATAAAGTACAATTAACCTCCATGAGAACACAATATCTTTCAAAAGCAAAAAAAAACTGTCACAATTTCAATAAGAATTTCCTGATTATATTGAAATTGCATATGATATACTAGTTTTCAATAAAAATTTTCATTTGTAAAACAGAACTTGAAATTTAATACCTGTAGAAACGGTTTTCCAATCTAGCTTTAATTGTACTCAGGTCAATCGGATACTCAACTACAAGAGCATAGACAGGGTAGCGATTTAAGTCCACGGGTACCATGAATGGTTCAGCTATAGCTAGTTCGATAACCTGCTCCAGTCCTCTCGCCAGTCGATCACACTCCTGATCTTGACCACACTTCGGCCACTCACTTGGTTTTGGAACATACTTCATAGCAAGCCTCTCATCATCAGTAACATCTATACTGCCACCTTGCTCATCAGGTAATCCTGTTGATTAAAAAAAAAACAACTTAAATACAATTGTATAGTTTGTTCTGGAACTTTAGAACAGCATGGTTAACAGTTATGATCAAAATGGATTGTTGTTTTCATAAAACTTGCTAAATCAACTTTTGCTTCACAGGATAGTTAATTTTTTTTACTTTTTCTTTTAAACAATGTATCCAAAATGTTTACAAAATAGATAAGTAAATAATCACATAAATATGAATGACTGGCACTTGTTTAAAATCAAATAAGTAATTAAAATACAGTGTTTAATATTTATACAATTTAAAGTATATTAAAGCCATCAACAGCTTCAACTCAAAGACAATTTACATGTTCTGACAACTTTGGAACATGTAAAATGTATAACTGATTTTAAGTGGAAGCCACTAATGGCTTTAATAAATTTTAAATTGTGTGATATAAAATGATGCATTCTGATTAGTTATCTGATTTTAATAATACTCTCTAACCCATTATAAGTTTAACTTCATTTCTTAACTTCAAGTCCACTATTTAGTACCTTACTTTTTCTGTCAGTCTTTAAAACCTTCTAAATGGTTTAAAATAATGATCAACGCTAAATTATGGAACTCACTAAACCAAAAAACATTTGAAAATAATGAAAGTAGATTTATTTCTAGAATATAAAGTTACTGATTTTCAAATTTGATCAGGCCAACTTGAAACATGTAATCCTTCTTCCTACCCTGCTGCAAATAAAATATGAGGGTGTCTTCACAGTCATATGGAGAGATATCCAAATACTTACCCTGCTGTTAAACCTAAAATTATTATTTTTTTTTCAATTTTGATTATTCCGTTTAAGAAAGGAATCATAAAGCATATGACTGCTTTCTTAATAATTTTGATTTTGGCATAAGAGCACATAATAATAACATATATTTACAATATTTGGAAGCTGGAAGGTCTTACACGCCATAATAACTAAGTTTCTCTAGTGTAACTCACAATGCTAATGAGCTTCTTCACACAAATGTTTAGGTTTATGAAATAAAGCCGGTGTTATAAGAACACGTATTTTAGAATTTTATGAAAACCTACGACTGAGATCTAAAGGTTCGAAATCCCAAGGGCTCATTCTTTCCATCTCTTGGTTGTCCCACATTACAAAAAAACACTGGAACATGCAGTCAGGGTATTCCTCTTGTAAAGGTTCTTGATGATCAATCCTTCCAAGCCACCAAGCATCATCTATGATACACCTAAAGCGATCAGCTGAGGGAACAGAACAGCAATAATTTGAAGAGCATCCTTGATATTAGTTCACTGAACGTACACAAATATTACAAATATAAATGTTATATATTAATATACTAAAAAGATTTAAACTGCATTAAAAGAAAAAATTCTTGAAAAATATAAAGCATTTCTAATTCGATGACGAGGAACCCACTTTGAGACTAATAATGGCTGGAGACGGCTTAAATGGGTAAT